TTGCAACCCGTACACTAGTGCGGATTCTTCTCAAAGTCGCATCCCGATTGGCGGAGGCTCGGGGTTCTCATTTATATTGCAATTTTGGCAGCAAGCGACAGAGTGATCACGGCGCAACGTATTTCATGTTCCCATTACAGTCCGCGGATACTATCTTGGAGCACGACATCGACGATCCGGCTATCCCGGCTATTTGCTCTAATGAGAACTTGAGAGGAAGTGTCCCAATGAAGCACAAGTTCAGAACTGATAAAGTGTACACATTTTGCTACTATTCTATGTACTGTGATTTCGTCACTTGGGATATACGTAACGTCTTCGGTGTATCCGGTGCCTGTTTGAAGTCTATGCTCGGGCCTCAGCCATTCCGCATTGCATTGAAGGACCCAGTCAACAACGAGTATTATGTGAACATGCTTTTAGCACATAGAACTCTCAGCCGAGAGTGGGCGGCGCACTTCGAGAGTCAGGACGAGGAAGAACTGGAAAGAGAACACAGTGTTGCCAGCTTCTACTCTGCTGTTAGTGGTAACGATAGCCCCAAGGTTTCTCTCGCACAAGCAGTAAGCTCGCCTGTGAGTTGTACGAAGAAGTCAATTCGGTCTCGTATATGGCAATGGATCTTCGTACCTTGCATTGCCTCAAGGAAGCAACTTGCCGAGCAAAGTTCGCGAGCATACCAGGAGGTAGTTATCAACTCCTTGCCGCCACCTAGGGTCAGTAGAAACCCTTTGAAGAGACGGCGCCGACAGTTACGGCGGTCGCTCAAAGACGCTGACGATTTTGTATCATTATGAAGTGTATCGTGCATTACCATATCACTGTTTGTTAGAGTTCGCCGACGATGTTCAAGCCATAAATTTGGAGTATCGTGTTCAAGTTGTGAGATGAACAATTCCGATGATGGGCGCTTCCGATGTTGGGTTAGACAACCGAGGGGTCATCCAACGAAGGCTGGATTTCCTGTGCGGTTGCGGCGGAGATTGCGGATCAGTGAATGTTGCCTACTAATCTCAGACTAATCAAGAGATTGACATTCGACATTGGCCGCTGGACGCTGGTTTCCATCATCTGCTAAGCTTACAAATCCTAACCCACCCTTCCAACTGCGAACGCAAAACTCTCCTTCTCCAACAACTCATACTAAGTCAACCATGGATGTTTCTCTCGAGGCCATCGGACCTCACACTCCGAGACGCAACATTTCGAGAATGCCTTGGAGAATCGATGCTGTTGTGTGGTCTCGCAGTTGGTACAGCCGTTCTTGCAGTCGAAAGAGGGCCCTTGCTCCTCGCACTCAACGGAGGCGGTTCTTCCACCCGAACGAGCCTTGGCAGGACCGTCTTGACCCTCTTAGACGGCTCTTTGAGGTTAGGAGTGTCCCCCGGTCGGAGTTCTTGGCCCAATGTCCACTCGTCTGTCTTGATGTGAGCGGGGGAGGTTGCTCGACGTTTATACCTGGAACGCGTCGGACGATTATCATCTCCTCTCATGAAAGACACCGGAGGGAGAATAGCTGATTTCCTCTTGCTTAATGATCTGCTACTATTCGGCCTAGCCGACATTCCTGTTCGGTAGCCCGAGGTGGCTGGGATTTCTGGAGACAACTCATTGCTTCGGCCACGTCGCTGCTCCCGCTTGCCAAACACGCCAGTTCCGTTCCGCACATCTCTCGGTTGGGGTTCTCGATCATCATGTGTAG